TGTGCACAGTCTTAAATTTTACTGGAAGTTGGTATGTAAAGGTGCGGTTCAACTGGTCTTGTGTGAGCGTAGGTGTGCCCGTAAATGCAGCTATCTGGACCGAATCTGTCACTTTGGTGTGAAATCTGGGGGCTGAGGGGAGCCTACAAGAACATCGACGCAGAGTGTGTTTCTCCTTGGGTATCTCCAGGCTTTCCAGGGTGCAATTAAAACTATTGTCAGTAATTCACTTAAAGAAATTATCAATATCTATAAAATCAACAAAAGTTACATTACAGATTTTATATAGAACACAGTTAATTATCTCAAAATCTGGTTTATATTACCAAAAATAAATCCCCAAGTAATGGCTAATTTGAAGCTCAGGATCTACATTTGCGCCAACGAGTTGTGAGACTGGCGTTAATAATTTTGAACCAGTAAATCAGTTTCCATGCTTCTTTCTTTAAAAAATATATATGCCATGAAACGCAAAGCTACAGTGAAACATAAAAAGTCCTTGTACCCTATGTTGCTCAAACGAGAAGTATCACTGCACATGTGCAGTCTATTCGGCAATGCTTTTCACTGCTGAAACACAACATCCAGCTGTGCACTCGGACACATGTCAGGTCCTAGACGAACATAAGGCCAGTTCAACCACACCTTAACTCAAAGACTTTTTTTTTTTTTTTTAATAACATTTTGGCCGGTGGACTATGACTGCCAGTAGTTTCTACCACAGATTTTGGCATTTTGTGTGGCAATTTTCATGTATCATTTCTTTAAAGCATTTTAGTTTTTCACCTTGATATTTCTGGCAGATGAATGCCCTCCCTTACTGTAAGGATCATCATATCAAGATACAGACTATTGCACCAATCAACACCACTATACATAAATAATTAGCTTAAATTTGTATTTTACTCTACATTTTCATTTTTACAATTTGTTTCTTCTTCAAATATTGACTTGAAATAGGTAATTTCCTGTCTCATATAGCTATCTAACCTTGTAATTATAATTTTTTGTTTAGGTACTTATGGTGTAAAATATGTGAATCTGTTGTTATTTTCTATCTTAAATCACCAACTCAGGAAATGAGTGAAAGCACTAGTGACATGAATGCCCTCTTCTCAGACTAATCAGGTCCTTATCACTCCAGGCAGCAACCACAGAGCAATCCTAGGAATTCCCCCCCTCACACACACACACACACACACACACACACACACACACACACACACACACACACACACACACACACACACACACACACACACACACACACACACACAACACAGACACACACACACACACACACACACACACACACACAGACACAGACACAGACACACACAGACACAGACACACACAGACACAGACACAGACACAGACACAGACACACACACACACACACACACACACACACACACACAGACACAGACACACACACACACACACACACACACACACACACACACACACACACACACACACACACACACACACACACACACACACACACACACACACACACACACACACACACACACACACACACACACACACACACACACACACACACACACACACACACACACACACACACACACACACACACACACACAAAAATCAATGTAAAAAACAAAATCCTTTCTGACTCAGACCTTTGCCCCCAGACCCCCAATACACGAGATAATCATCCTCCCAGCACATAAGCATTTATCAATGAGGTTAAGATCTTAAATTCCTAGATTGCCATGTTTACCCCGCATGTAGGTCATATGCTCTATCCTGCTATTTTCCTAGGCAGTGGTTGGGGGGCAGCAGCCTGTTCCGTGCATTCAACAGTGTAGTGAGATATTATCTTCATTACATTACCATGTTATTGTTAGTTTACCCCACAATTTTCCTGGTATTTTTCATGCCTTCTCTCACTATCAGGGACAAGTGTGAGAAGAATCCATTGATACCAAAAATAGTCGAAATCGGTTATGTGAGGGTATCGTGAGAAATTACTAAGACATTTTCTTGATTTTTTATGTTACCCTTTGCCTGCACAGATTATTTTGTCTATCACCAAGTGTAGATTTTCCCTTAATTTCAAAACAATTTTGATGCCTATCTGCAAGATATCCATTGATTTCAACGATTCTTGGTGTTGTTTCTTTGCAAATGATTTGTTGATAGCAGGGGAGGGCATGAAGTATATCAGGGAAATTATGGGGTAAAAGAGGCTTAAATAAAAAGAATAGAGAAAAAAAAGGCATAAAACTAGTACAGACACTTAAAATTGGCTTATGAAACTCTACACACATGCCCATCTTTGAAACTCTACAGACAGACACACACCAAAATTTGAAAAACTCTATGGGAATACAACCCATCTTTTGGTTTAAATCTCACCAAACAATATAAACTGACATGACTAGGTGTGGCCCCCAACACCCCCCTGGGACACATTCTCTTCACCTTGGTATGTACAGCAGGATGGAGCTACATCCATACTGTAAACAATAAACCATATACCTTTATATCTCAAAACACCAAACTTTACTTAGCTTTTCTCTATTGTGTGGATCTATTCAAATCTAATAACTTTTTTTGGCATTTGGGGCACTTGATGGACTCAGATATCAAACTGTGATGGTTATTAAGGTCTATAGCCCAGAATCGACAAAACACCAAAAACACCCTCTGTCACAGAATGGCCGGGAATAATCCTGTCAAAACTGGCTCCTGGAAACGCTTATGTGCACATGCTCAGTATTATTACATATTACTATTACTCTTATACTACTGCAATTACTTTGTATGTATATATCAAAGTATTACATATTGCAAATCTTTATCATCAACTCGCAAAGGCAATGCCATGGATGAAATGTGTCTTGAATTCTCTCATTCCATCAATTACAGGCAAAGTTTACCCAGTACCATAAGTAAGTATAAAACAGAAACCCAGACTGAAGAGTATTTTTCTTGTGTGGGGAATATTACATTTTTTCATGCACGGAAAATATCCTTTTTTCTACATTTGTGCAGACAGATCTGCGGACAGATGATGAAACAAGTGCGCGGAAAGGTCAAAAGAATTTTTTGCGTGGAAGATGATTTAAAAAAGAACTAAGTGTGCATGGAAAGTTACCCGAGAATTACATTTGCGCAGACAGAATTTGACCAATTAATTTTAGCATGGGGAATGTATCCCCTGTGTAAACCAAACTCTGGTGGCAATTTGGGTGTCTCGCAACGCAATGCGAAACCAATAGCTGTCTCGTGATCGGAGACGAGACAGGCCTCTAAGCTCCGCCCATTTCTGTGACGTAATGGGAATGGCTACAGTTGACGGCTTGTTATTTTACTGTACTGATTATTTTTCCGACAGGTAAACAATATTTAGGAAAATTATATCCAAGATGGCTTTTCATATCTTAAGGTGGGTAGTGCTGTGTTATAGATATCCAATATAAGTACAAATATGCATGAAATATCCGAAGTAGGAGAAATGAATCAGGCAACTCAATAAATATTTACCACCTGCTCAATTCCTGTTGCGTGAAAGGTGTCGCATTTGCCGTAACCACCTTATATCTTGAAAGTCAAGATGAGTGACTATACATGCTCAATTTTTTTTTTTGCCTACGCACTACTTTAATTTTGGCCGTTAGTTCATGGTTAGCTTCTGTTACACTAAAAAGCAGTCCATTAAAACCCAATTTCTTAGTATCACCAACACGGCTGCAATGCAAATTCACTAAGGGATTTAGTGTGGACACAATTAATTAAAAGTACCCCAGTCATAGCCATAAATCAGCAAAACTACTTTATTAATTTATCACCATCAATAGTAATGTCACTACAGCTTATATAAATGTACTGACAATATCTAACAAATAATTAGTTACTGGCAAGGAAATAAAGGTCAATGAAACAAATTCAACATTGCACCACATTATAACTATGAGACCTGTAATATCATTTCTAGTAATAATCAAGGCGTGGCTCTCCTTTCAGGCTTAATAGACCATACAATCATAATAAAAGCATTTGTATTCTCTGAAACCAGCACAAATATTTCCACTTCATAGGAGACATGGTATGGGTGAACATCCTTCAATATCGTGTAGGAAACAAGACAAAACATAACAATCACACCACTCACCTCAATATCCAAGAACTTCTGGAAGACACCATTGCACTTTTGGTCTATCTGTGAAAGAAGTGTTATTTCACTGCGTAAATTGACATCTTCGGTCTCCATGTCAGCTCATATCCTGCCACACGCGAGACAGGGAGCCACCATGTGTTTTGGTTCAAGGCTTCACACACTCTCGCTCTCTATCACACGTGTTGATTGGGGTTTTATTTTCTTATTTTGTCAGTCAATTACTGGGTTATAATTTTCAGTCTATATATTTTTGGTATTCTTTCTTGCTCTTTTTATTCATTTGGAATTTATTGTTGATTTATGAGTATCTACTTTAATTTTGCTTAATTGTTTCAAATTGCATAAAATACATATTCTTCTGAATCACTTCACTGATCGTTTATATAGTTTTATATTATTCTCTGTATGGTTCGTTATGCGAAACAGTACCTCCTATTTATAAAGTGTTATTTTTGTAAAACATTACAAGTATCATAACCTTATTTACCGAGTTCGAATGTGTATGCGACTTCTATTTACGTGTAATGGGAATATTTTCAAATAATAAAACTTGAAATTAATTTTCAATGTATTCGATAGTTTATAAATGCATTATATACGTAGACGGCATATTCAATGGCACATTTATGTGGTGTAAACATTCATTGTGTTAATTATACATCACTTCATAAGACAGTGTGAAGGCTTTGAGATTTCCCCTAGATAATTGTCTAGGGAATCTTTGAATATATAGAGCACTCTCAAATTAGAATAATATAACATTGTATACAAAAATAAGTCGATAAATAAGCATAGAAATAATCATAACAACTTTCTTAAAAGTCCTGAGTAAATCCATCGTTTGAAGATGTTGAGTAACTATATATGTTGACTGCATAACATCCTCGGCGGGGAAATTTCCCAGTGGAGGTGCAAGTAGAGAAGGGATACGCAATCATGGCTCTGACTGGTAATTCTTCAATTTATTCCTTGTATCCTATCGATATTATCCTAGACAAAGTTTATTATGTGTTCAGAAGACTCCATTGCAACATATGTATTGGGTATGAAGGAAACAGTTGGAGTGAAAACCTCGTTTGGAAGATGGGTAGAGAGTGCCGGATAGATCAGCTGTGTTATGTAGTGAAGTCAATGAATTGTTTCTTTTTCAGGAATGGGTAAACATTTGAAGAGCAGCAGAGTTATTGATGTTATTTAATGAATGTTTATTAATGGATTAGATGGTTTTATGTATTGTAGATATGATTGATGGAATCATCGTTGCTGTTTTTTTTTTTAAGCTGTAAACATTCAATTTGTCACTGTTTGCGTAAGTCCTTTCTGTGCGATTATAGTTTCATGAAGTGTCCCCATATTGATATTTATATTTTCATAGATGCAAGGGACAAGTATATCTTTAGACAGAATTGGGTACAGAAAACAATTAAATTACTTCAGAAGAAAAGGGTGCCATCGTAGTCCCCGAGATGGATTCCATGGGGTTTTAAGACAAAGGGCATGAAATTATAGGAAGTTATGGCTTGAGTAGGATAGGTTAAAGCACTAGAATTTAGTATAGATTTTAGAGAACCCCATGCTTAAGTAAAGAGCATTTGCTCTTTGTGCATCCCCTCTCCCTCCACAATTAGTTGCTCAGGTGCAGTGGCTGCTCCCTCCTCACAGAGAACATTTTCCATAAATTGTTCTAATTTTTTACTGTATGGATGCCCAAGCCAGAGACTAAGTTCCCAACTCCATGTTGCAAGCCTTATTCAAAACCTAAGTTGCCATGACTTAGCCTACTCTTTGGGCACTGCCTGAGGGCCAGACTGTAAGGTATTTTTCTTGCACGGGGAATATTACATTTTTTCATGCACAAAAAACATCATTTTGTCAACATTGGCACGGATGGATCTGCAGACGGATGATGAAACAAGTGTGCGGAAAGGTCAAAAGAATTTTATGCGTGGAAGATGATTTAACCCTTTGCTGGGCACACATATTAAATACCTCATATATACATGTATTTATGTGATCATATATGGTCACTAAACCGATAAAGGGTAAAAAAAAGAACTAAAAACCAAACTCTACAGTCTAGCCTGAGGGGAGGGTTGATGGGTGGCTATGTCCCCCCAACACCCCAACAAAAATTTCTTCACATCTGCACGGCAAGATAGAGCTGAAACTAAGGAGCACCAAGTGGACTTCTTTGAGTGGCTCTTTCTGCGATCTTCTTTTGTTTGTGTTATCTTTCATGTCTGCAGATTATTTTCTGTATCTTCAATTTACTGTAGCTTAGTGTGTCCATATTGAAAAGATTCCAAGATCCATATAGTGGCTTTTGAAATTAGAGTACTTTTTTGTAATTAATTTTTTTTCTCTGTAAAAAACTCTTTCAAACTTCTTGTACTTGATGAAGTCCAACACAGTAGGGTCGGGGCAATAGCTTCCATTCAGCTAAAAAAAAAAAAATAATAATCTAGACAGTATAGAATTTTATTAAACAAATGTGAAATGCTACGAAAATGGAAGAACAAAATGCAGAATAATCAGTGAAGTCTAATTTAAAACGTGGAAAGGCATAAATACATCCTAATATTAAAATAAGTTACTAAATTTGTCACTCTTAGACAAAGTCCCAATCTTCTCTTATCGGCAAAATTAATATAAACAAACCATATAACTCAGATGGTGCTCAAGAAAGTAGTACATGTGCTACTATCTATTGTTTGATAGACATTTACACGTAATTTCATGTTCATTTTCGATACTTACTCTCCAAATGCTAAAAATTACCATTATATTCATACATTTAACTAATTTCTCTAATCTAATTACATTTTGCGCTCTTCAAAATTGGGTGTGACATCAGCGTATGGCACAGTGATGCGTCGTTGGCCATTGGGTCAGAAGTCATGTCACCGTGGTTGCGTGTGGTGCTCGAACTACTGTATAGAGCATAATGACTGGCTCCTCGACTCATTTGTATAGGCCTATATGATTTTGGAAGTGGATGCCAAAAGTGGACGGGTAGAAGTCCAAGGGTCAATTCTGGAACCAATTAATTGTCCACCTGCCGGTTTGTTCATTTTTCATTTGTTATTTTGTACACTATCTATTTATCCTTAAAGATCTCGTTCATATCCAACAATCTAAAAAGGTATATCTTGATTATTAGTGGAGATATAGTAAAAAGAATTCAAACAAAAATTTCAAGATTTCTAAAAGAAATTACTTGAACATCATACACTTTTGTTTGGCAGCACAGTAATCTTAAACTGTTAGATATAAGAGTATGACATTGCAGGTTGAACTTTCATGTATAAGAATTATAAGACTGTCAGGTTGTATGCCATGTCCCTAACAGTCTTTTTGTGCCCTATTTTCTCTCTTTCTCTCTTTCTCTCTTTCTTTCTTTCTCTCTTTCTCTCTTTCTCTCTTTCTCTCTTTCTCTCTTCTCTCTTTCTCTCTTCTCTTTTCTCTCTTTCTCTCTCTCTCTTCTCTCTTTCTCTCTTTCTCTCTTTCTCTCTCTTTCTCTCTTTCTCTCTCTCTTCTCTCTTTTCTCTCTTTCTCTCTTTCTCTCTTTTCTCTTCTCTCTCTCTCTCTCTCTCTCTCTCTCTCTCTCTCTCTCTCTCTCTCTCTCTCTCTCTCTCTCTCTCTCTCTCTCTCTCTCTCTCTCTTCTCTCTCTCTCTTTACATTATTTAAAATCTAGATGTGTTGTTTTTCTTTTAAGTGGGTTGACTCACAGGAGGTATTTGTTATTGATGTAAATAATTTCTCTCTAGTTGTACATTGCCTTCTCTCCTTCCTACATCTAACATGGACTTGCAGAAAAGATGTAAACAATAAAGGAAACAGACTGAAGAAATTTGTACCTGAGGTATATTTCTATAAATTATAGTTATTTTAGTTCCTTGTAAATATATCAAACTGAAATACAATTGTCTTTACAGTTTGGCGTGGCAGTGTCCCTCAGCTGTACAGGGCTCTCAGTGGAGCGGTTTCGGTAGCTGCTCGGCAGCAGAGCACAGCGCCCCAACCAAGCACTGCTCCTGCAAAGTACAAGCCATATTCACCCTTCCAGAACACATCCAATGCTGCAGAATTTGCTGTTGCGAGATTAGATGATTTGCTTAACTGGGGTCGTAAGGTGGGTACTTTTTCTGCAGCTGAAAAGAGACATCAACAATATTAGAAAATTATTTGTAGTTTATTTTCTTCAGATGTTAAGCATTGCTCAACATTTTTATTTTTAAACATGAAATGGTGATTTAACAGAATTATGTAATTAACAAGAGTACAGCATAGATCAGTAAAACATATGAAAAAGATGAATTTTTTGGTTTTGTAAACCAATAGTTTATTAAGGATACATCACAATATATTTCTAACATAAAACAAAATCCTTAGAGCCTACCAAATGTGATCATTTAAATTTTATTCATTATTTTAGGGTTCATTGTGGCCCTTAACCTTTGGGTTGGCATGCTGTGCTGTGGAGATGATGCAGTGTGCTGCAGCCCGATATGATATTGATAGGTTTGGTATCGTTTACCGAGCTTCACCTCGCCAAGCAGATGTCATCATTGTGGCTGGTACATTGACCAACAAAATGGCTCCTGCTCTGAGAAAGGTTTATGATCAGGTGAGTACATTTAAGACGTACACAGTTCTATTTTCATTGCAAGCATCCAGATCCAGTTATTTTTATAGACGTAGATGCATGTTTTGTCTACACCCATGAGTTAATATTGCTGACCACAGTAGTATGATTTTTGTATGTATAAATG